CGAAGCTGAAACTCAGTGCAATCACAACTAATACTGCGCCATCCTTGCTCCCTGCTGCTCGGCTCCTGATTGCACGAGTGAACAAACCAATGGGATTTTGCATCGGATTCACATCGCTAATTTGGGAACAGGCAGCCGAAGAATATTGTTTAGTTTTGTGACTCACAGTGATATTTTATTCAACAAATTTGGTATTTCAGTTTTTCAACTGATTTACAACAGAAAAATGCCGTGGGATCGATCTTCAGTCTTTTTAATTATGTCAGTCCGTTTCATCTTTAAACGAAAAAAATCTCCTGGGGGGACATCATGTACAAATTAAAGGATGAGGGCGCTGGTCAAAAATTTTGAAAAGAACCCCTAAGAGGTACCAAGGTCCTGCTTTGTGGGCGTGGCCTGAATTTTTTTTACCCCTAAGAGGAACCAATTCCAAAACAACACATTGAGAGACACTTTCTTACTTGTTAACAGTACTAAAGACGATAGCTTCGAATACCTTCTCCCCATAAAGTTTATGAACGCATTGCCATGTAAATCTCTATCCTGCTAATATAAGTTGTTCATTATACCCTCAAAGGTACTACGAGCACCCCCGTCCTTTTTTTTATAGAAATTCCCCCGGGAAAATCCCAGTACTACCCCCCTCCCCAGGACTACGAACAGCACACAGAGCATGAGAAATGTGGAAGATTATAATCGAATGTCAACACGTGTCAAATATAACGTATTGAGGTGAGCATAAATTTTAATTTGTTTACCAGCAGGAAGCAGCATCAAAACACGCAGTCTTCAAAGATTCCCCCCAGCGAATCCCAGTAAAATTTCTGGTGAAAGTTGCATCACCTTCCTTTCTTGGTTGCTCCGAAGAAGTGTTGTTCGCACACGGGGGTGGGGGCTCCCAAAGAAAAAGGACGGGGGCGCGCTCATCGTACCTTTTAGGGGTTAAAAACTCGGTTTTGGTACCTCGTAGGGTGTTTAGCCTCAAAAGGCACATGGTGGGCGCTGTTGCGGTACCTTTCAGTCAGTATTGAGCCAAAAATAATATGACAGGAGATTGGAATTGGTATCTCTAAGGGGTGAAAAAAATTTCAAGATACGCCCACGATGCAGTATCTTGGTACCTCGAAGGGAAAAAATTTCCGACAAGCATCCCCGGCCTTTTAATGTGGGAGTCTCCCCCCGGGGTTCTTCACAGTTCAGCGTCTTTCTTCAGAGCATATCCGCGGACAACCATTGCATGGCCTGGTGGAGTCTATAGAATACCAATCGGTAAAAATATTCCTTAACCCCTTGCCCAAAGATAACGTTTTTAACCATTTAATCAGGTTTTTTAGCTGCCATGTCGCTAAAGAAGCCTAAGTTTTGCTAAGAAAGCTTTATTTTTACTAAAAGGAGAGATTTTTCGAGGATTAGGTACAAAATGGAGCAATATTTCAATTCCTGTCATGCGCATATGCCAAAATTTGGACCTTTTTTTCCTTTTTTTTTCTTTTCTTTTTTTTTTTTTGCCAATAACGGTTCTCAATTTTGTTCGTTGCCCTTTTCCGTTCTGTTTTTCTCGGCCCTTTTACACTGGCTACCTTTTGTGTTGCAACTTCTTTCTGGCTGCCGTGAAAAGTTGGATGTTAATTACGGGCAAAGCCTAGAAATGGACCTTGATCAATCATAGGCGTAGTGGACAATTTTACCACCGTTTTTGCCCCAAAACTGATAACGTTGTTTTTCGATTTGCGACGTCGGAATGTCGTCGATATCTAAACCTGACCATTGTATGGAAAGGCCTAGCCCAGTACTACTATCTGCTTATCAAGAATATCTGATGACATTTAAATTGATAACGTCACAAATGGAACAAAGAGCACGACCATTAATTACGCATATAATTCCTACATTTCTCTGTAGATGATGCATCTCCCCCTCTCCTTCCAAACGCCACGGTCGGCTTGCGTGGTGTGTGACTGAATGGCAAATGGGTTTTAGATGTCACGCTACAAGGTTCGTTTCAAGAGCTGTCAACAATATCATCCGCAGGACGGGGTTGTTTTCAGTGCAGTGCCATCTGGTCATGGTGTTTTTACTAACACCATCGCGATCGACCATAGAGACGCAACTACTTCGACTTGCATCTCAGAACCTTTTTTGGTTTCCCATATTTGAAATGTGTTGTCCGCCGGCAAGTTTCTTTCAGTCTCGGGATTCAGTTTATCGCTGAACTGTAAAAATAAAAACTCGCACGATTAATTTATTCTCCATGTAACGACTAGCAATTAATATTCTCGCAATAAAATTGTAGTACGCTGAGATACGAAGCCTGTTATAAAAAAAAATCTTGCTCTCATCAATACCTTGTAGCCATAACTCTTGACAACGTTTCGCACAACGCGAAACACGGCTCGCTTGTGTCGTGGCCCATCAGTTTACTCGTCCTGTGGAAGTTCTACTACGCACGCGCGCCAGGCTTCACGCGAGGTCTCATTGTTTACTCCAGTCTCGTCCCCAATAGGGCTTACTTGCAAAGGTTTTTTATTTCCTTTCCACGTCTGAACGCAGGCTAGTCCCAAGAAGTGGTCACATAGAACCCGCTTTACGTTTAGTACCAAGAGCGTGAACTCTGGCAAAGTCTGCGACTCATGAGCTTCCGGTCGTTTCAGATAAATCTGATTGACTGATAATCGAAAATGGGTCTTTGCTCGAGCTAAAAAATTGGAGTGGCAGAGTTCTGACCAAAGATAAGCGGGCTCTGGAAGAAAGATAGGGCTTACCCCTTCAAATTTTTCTTGTACATGTTACAAACGTAAAATAGGAGTGGCAGAGCAAAATTTAGGTTTCGAGTAGTCCCTTTTCCGTTTGGTCCGTCGTGCGTGACGCGAAAGAAAACTGCAAGAAAAAAATGGCTGCGCGAAACCCTGGGGGCGAGGAGCGCGCAAAAGGCGCGCTTCTCGCCCCCAGGATTTCGCGCGGCCATTTTTTTTCTCTTTTTTTTATTTTATTTTATTTTTTTTTTTTCGCGTCACGCACGACGGGCTAAGCGTAAGAGGGACTACTCGTAGTCTAAACAAAATTATGATTTTCACTTCGGCGAAGTTACGCAATGTTTGATCATGATTTGCAAAGGACTGGGTCACCCAAGTAAATTCGACACTTTTTCAGTATGCTTCCATGGTAACGCTAGAAAAGCAATTTGAATGTGTTGGGTTTCGATCAGACCGATGGCCATTATGTGCTCAAGGGCACGAAGAGGATAAAGCGAGTGAGTGAGTAAGTGAGCGAGTGGGTATCCAACTGATTTTCATACAAGCCAATATTTGAAACAATAAGTAACTTTTTAATTTGTTTTGCGGGATCTTTGTATTGCAACATCAGTGAAACCGATACCCGCTCGCAGAGTCCGTTTCGGTATTATAATAAAGTGGTTATTCTCTCAATGAGTCGTTTTTGTACGATGTAAAACTCCGATAGTCACGTAAAGCAAACATTCTTTGTACCAGTGTTGAAAGAAAAGATTGACACTCTTTCGTTTGCTCTGTTCAAAACGGACAACACGCAATCGTAATAATCTCGCACTCTCGGCCAAATTTCTATTTGAGTTTTTTATCATGTCCATCCGACAACTATTTGTGCAAAACCTAATAAAATAAAAGTAGAAGAGTATTGTTTGTGTCAAGATCGCCGTCATGCCCTCAGCACGCACATAATAATGGAATGTCAACATTGTCTCGCGTAATCGCCTCAGGCGACAAAAAGTGACTCTTATTATCCAAGCCGTAAATTAAATTTTGCAGTTGCTTGGTGAAACTTGTGCCGTTCACTGCAAAATAACATCTTGTTACGCCGACGATCGACGTGGTGTCCTTTGATTATTTCGATCGATTTTCTGGGCAAAGTGATGCCGCGTATGATTGCTTTTAGTTCAATGAAACTGAAAATTGACAGCGGTGGTAGATAATTGCCCAGCGAAGTGACGGCAACTGGGGCTCGACCACCATGCGGCGAAGTAAATTTTCATCAAAAGAACAGATTAAAGACCAGCAGCATGCGAGTAGAGACATAATCCAGTTATATAACAGAGAATCGAAAGCCCAGAGGGAAAGAAACAAGAAAATTATTGAAATACAGCGAAAAGCGAGACGGAAGGATGATTCCCGTAATCACTCACTGGAGGAAAAAGCGAGGAATGAAATGCGTAAGAACTCTCAAGCGAAAACTGGCTACAGTATCATGAAATTGCCACTGATTGAAACCCAAAGCAGGCCAAATAAAACACGTAGATTGAGTAAACGATCGAGCGTGAAAGATGTGGATGAACATTTCTTGCCGAACATAGATGTTGGTAACTCGAGAACTTATGTGCGTGGCGCTCGAGTGAAAGAACCTTCGCGTGATCCACGATTTGAAGGTTTAATTTCATCCTTGTTGATCAACGCGGACTATTATGGTGACTTGCAGAGATTTGCACCGCCAAGAAGGGAAATTGGTAAACGGACACGTTTAGGATTGGGATTTTAAACATGTTGAATTATTTTATGACACTGGAATCAAGAACTATTACACTTGATGAACCCATATTCGATTAATGTCATTTCCTTGAGAGATATAGATTTAGCGACTTCATTTTTATTTCAGTACATGAATCTTTATTTTTGAAAAAAATCTATTGTTCAAACAAAATGACAAATTCAGAATTGTTTTTATCCACGTCGATATTGATAGTTTCTGATTCAACCGGACATAGATCAGAAACACTGACTCGCCGAAGCCAGCTGGTCTTTTGCCGTACGCAGCTGGGGGTACCGTTCATGTTACAAAGTCACTGTATTTTTGCTTTACAATGTCTTATTCAAGCTTATTCAGTAACCTCATTTTAAATTTTGCTACTACTTAATTATTTGCGGTAAAGCAAGCAGAACCTCCTGTTGGAGAATTGAAAGAATGGATAGCCCTCATGCCCGCGGTGAAATGCTTTTCCTTGGTACATGTATAAAGCTGTGTTCACACTAGGCTGAAACATGATTAGTCTGATCACGAATGAAACATGACGGCTTCGTTATGAAAAGTGTTCACATCAGACAGTGCATTGCGCGAATCATGGTTGAAACATGATTATTCTGAGCATGATTGAAACAACCTCGCGAGGTAGTGTCAATCATGATCAGACCAAGCGCGTTCAAAGTGGCGGATGGATGCGGAGAGGAGGCGAGTGCCTAAATGAACCAAAATTGGGGCTATTATGAGGCCAAATGTCTAGTTGAAATATGGGCCGATGAAGAAATACAACGGCAATTATCGGCGATGGGTAGAAAGCAGAATATTTGGGAGAACATTGCCGAAAAACTTAATGTACCATGAAACAGCATAAATTATACAACCATGCATGAAACGTGTCTGAATCCGACATCTGATATGAATAATGCAATAACAAACATTTTTTGGCGAAAAATGTTTCCTTGAAACATGTTTACTCTAATCATGTTTCGGCTTTAATGTGAACACAGCTTAAATCTTTTCTGAACGTTTCCTAAAATTATTGCCGTCCATTTCGTAGTCTTGCTGTAAAAGCTTGTTTAGTTTGAGCATCTTTTTCGTTCGTTAGCCTGGGTCGCAATGTATCTCCAGAGGGTCCGGTATCCAGGACCTGATGGTGGTCAAACAGGCCACTGTCGATATATCAAAATTGAGCTTGATATTGAGGCCTAGAGGACACAAACAAAAGAAATGAATAAACATGCTCATTTAATTTCCTTTGTTTGTGTCCTCTAAGTCTCACTACCAAGCTGAATTTTAATACATCAAAAACGGTCTATTGTGACCATCCAATGTCTTTTACTACAGTGATACATGTGGTAACATGTCTCTTTAGCTGAATACTGAGACGTCTTTTGGTCCTGAAAGGTCTTGTGTACAGGTCGGTACCGTGCTTTCTCTAGTCCTTGGTGTGTCAGTCCATTCCAGTTCACTGACTTTACGCCTCAAAATTAGCAATTCATCGCGTTGACGGCTTTGTCACGCACGTACAAAAATGTGCTAAATTACCAACGGATGATACCGCAAATCTCTTTCACCGACTGCAGCCTATTCTTCTGCGATCCTTTGACATGAGAGTTACATTTCGTGTTCTGTGTATAGCCGTGAACTGTACTGTCCTTTTTATACTGAAGTCAACGCAAGCCGAGTTCAACGGGGACCGACTTTCCCCCGTTGTGCAGACTGAGTCTGGTGCCGTCATTGGCAAGATTGAGAAGCTTCCATACGGCAAATCAGTACACGAGTATCTTGGTATCCCGTATGCTGAACCTCCGGTCGGCAAATTAAGGTTTGCAGCTCCAAAGCCCCTCAAACCTTGGTCAGGAGTGAAACGTGCCACAAAGTTCGGAGCCTCGTGTCCACAGCCATCAGTTTCGTATCGTGGCACCGAGATCAATTTTACTCGGTCAGGTATGGCATATCTATGTTTCAGTTTTACCTAAATTGATTTAACATAATTATTCTGTTGACGTGAAACAAGTCAAAACCTTAATTCGGATCGGACAAGAATCCGGGAACTACGTACAGTATGTCGTTTGAACTGCAATTCAATAGTGAAAATGACACCAGCGTGACCTAATCCTGCCTGTCACGCACCTATAGTCAGCCTAGTTTAGCGGACAGGTAGGGCTTGCACTTGGGCAAAAAAACTTCCTGTCTGTTCTGAAGTGCTATATAAGACATTTCTTTACATTTATTAACATCATGGGCCATCATCCTCCTCTCAACAGAAAAATGAACAACACAATTACGGGAATGCACGTGGCTATGTCACTGAAAGAAAATTATTTTTTTCTATTTTTCCTAGGAGGAAACATTGAGGATTGCCTTTTTCTCAACGTCTTTGTCCCGGCATCTGTCAAGCCCAATGACAAGATGGCGGTGATGGTGTGGATTCATGGCGGCGCATTTGCTTATGGTACTGCCTCTCATTATCCTGCTGGGGTTTTAGCGACCTTCAATGACGTCATCGTTGTGTCAATCAACTATCGTCTTGGAATACTCGGCTTCTTCAACATCCCTGATACTGATTATAAAGGAAATTATGGAATGTTGGATCAGGTAAGTTATCTTTGTACCTGGCATTGTTTATGTACGCTTTTAACCTGTTAACCATGATGAAGATGAAGGAATCACTTCTGCTGTTCTTTTAAATTATTATTACTGTTTTAATTAACATTCATGATTTATAACTACAGGTCCTGGCATTAAAGTGGGTTCAATCCAACATTGCAAGGTTTGGTGGTGATCCTAACAGAGTGACCATTTTTGGTCAAAGTGCAGGAGGAATGAGCGTGTCTCTTCATTTAGTGTCGCCATTGTCCAAAGGCTTGTTTCACAGAGCTATTATGCAGAGCGGTACGTCTTCGTCGCCGCTTTACTGTGGAAAAGTTACCAACACAAAGCAGCTAGAGGCGTTTGCTAAGCGTATAAACTGCAGTTTGGGACCAGATCTTGTTGACTGCGTGCGAGGTAAGACAGTTGAGGAGATTACAAAGGCTAAAAGTGGGATCACGATTTCTAAAAGCATTGGTTCTCAAAACATTGTGGGACCTACAGTTGATGGAGAATTTCTACCAGATCTACCAGAGACCCTGTTTAAAACGGGTCAATTTCACGCTGATGTTCAAGTAATAACTGGCGTCACTTCCAACGAAGGTGCTTTATTTGCAATGATTATGCCTCGTTACCAAGTGAAAGATGGAGTATCATTAGAAATGTTTGAGTCTGTTGTCAGGAATGGAATGATTTATGGTCGACAAAAGCGCAAACCTGTCGAAGATTTAACTCTGTTCCACTACACTAACCATGCAGACCCTAACAACCGAATTGCTGTTCGTCAGTCGATGATGAACTGTTTTAGTGATTCAGGGTTCATTGCACCCCTCGTGCTGGAGGCAAAGGCTTTGGCAAAGGTTATATTTATATTCCGTCTACCCCCATATCAAAGTGTCGGGGGTCCTTATCTGCGCCCAGTCCTGGTAATGTGTCCATGTACCGAGAAGGGGAAAAGTTTTAGGGACAAATCGCCTCATGCATGCCGTCTCTTTTTTGGGGGGAGCAAATCCAGGAGACTTGAGGTCTTGTTTCAAATTAGTTTGAATTCTCGTGACAAGCCGCGAGGACAACTTAATGTCCCTACGACAAGTTCTTTTCGCCAGAATCGATAGTTCATGCGAAAGGAAAATTCCCCGAGAATTTGTGCAGGGAGACATTTCCTCGTGTGTTCTGGCGTTATAAAGGTACCACAAATCCATTGTTTGCTGGGGGAGGGACTTGTACAAGCTCATTTTGACTCCTTATGGATATTAGTCCGGATTAGTTTATGAGCGATACTCCACAATGGTGGACCAACAGCATCATCGCAGGCAAAAATTCTTTCTCAACAAACATGGCTACAACTAGTTCCTTGCTGTAAGTGTCCCTGGGTTTATGTCTAGCATTTCACTAGTGTTTTTATATAATGAATAACGCTGGTATGTTACTTTTTAGTACTGATCATATCTTAGTCTGTTATTGGTCCCTGGTGGATGCGTTCATGTCCTTGGGAAGTCGATTGAAGTGTTTGGTTTTGTGTTAAATCTAATTTTACTTTATATTTGGAACTTCGTCCACCTGCTTATGCGACAGATAGGACTGTATCGTTTCTTTATATTATACCTTTACACCAACAGATAGGACTTCCACCTTATGTTTATGTGTTCAACCATCGACCAGTGTACTCCACGCTGCCTGACTGGATTGGTGTGGCACATGGCATGGACCTTGCACTTGTGTTTGGCGCGCCATTTAAGAACATACCTGACCTATTCGTTAATGCTTTAACAAAAAAGTACTCCGAAATAGACAAGGGGGTGAGCTTGTATATAATGAGACTATGGACGGATTTTGCCAAATATGGGTAAGACAATGATTTTTTGTTTTTTATTGGTACACACGTGAAATGTTTGTTAAGGGTTAACCAGTAACGTACCTATAATATTTTGATGAGGAAGTTATTTCTTGGATGGCAAATTCAAACGTCTTTAATTTGTTTGATGTCATGCCCAAGTCGTGTCCAGCTGTGAAAGCGTTATCTCAATTGCACCTTTGATTCGTGTTAACCTGTTCTTCCAATCAGTATGACTTATGAAGGCTGGATGTCTCCTTTTTTGTATTTCGGTTGACAAAAACAGACCTCGATGGAGCTAATCCTGAATTCACCCCCCTTAGGGGCTAGTGAAACCCGGTCTGGTAAATTATCCCCTCCCCCACCCCCTCGCCTATGAGAGGTACACATCTCTGACTCAGTCCTTTACAGTGCTCCAGGTAGAGACAAATATGTTAATGTTCCGGATTTGGCGGGAGGTGGGCGGAAAGGACTTTATTAAAGTATTGTTTACGTCGGATTTTTTTTTGGCTCTGGTGATTTTTTTTTTCTTTCCTCAGATCTCCAAATCCACCTGATTCTGGTCCTTCGTCAGTCACGTGGCCTAAATTTACACAGCAAGAGCAGGCACATCTCATAATCGACGTGGACCCGAGGGTGGAACATAGGTTCAGGGCAAAAAAGGTGGCGTTTTGGAATGAAATTGTTCCTAATCTGCTCCAGCCCACGCGAGTGAGGGTAGAAAAATTTCAAGATCACACACAAAAGGATGAACTTTGATCAGCATAAGGACGTTAAAGCAACTGAAATTAAATAATAAAGCTTTCTTTGAACCGTATTTCAACAGGTTCTAATTTGATTGTCCAGGTGAAGGCAGTTCCAACGAGGACTGAACCTGTCTTCTAGATCTTCTGCAACCTTCGACATCCTGAGCCGTACACTCAACCAACGAGGAGCCCCTCGTCCACTTTTTCCTTAGGTAGTCGAGCGTTCTTGTGTTGTTTGTACAGTTGAAGGGCTTAGCAAATAGGAGCTGTTCGTAGTCCAGCTGAATGATCACCCTATTTTGTGAACGACGTGTTCCATCTGGCATCCTTGACCATGATTTTCAGATTACCAGACTGGATGAGGACTCCTGGGAAATGAACTTTGACCAGGAAGACCAAGGAATAAATATATCGCTGCCGAGATGGCACAATGATAAGAGGCCCGACCTATTAGACTGTTAATCAAATGTTAGAATGAGTATACTGTAAACTGCCGCTTGGACGATCTCCCGTTTATAAGCCCCCGGGTAAGCCCCCTCCCTCCCGGGGATAAGCCCCCTCTACTTTAAAATGAGATGAATTCGATTTATTACGATGTTTAAACGCTTCGTATTTCGATCAATACTGCTGTAGCTCGTTTCGAGACGGTTTTTTTTTTTATTCTGCGTATGAGCCCCCTTGGATACTTAAGCCCCTCCGTTTATAAGCCCATCCCCAACCCCTTACGAAGTTGTATAATCCCAGGGTTTATTATTGCTGAGGGATTCTATTATTGTTTGAAAGTGATTTTTGGGTACTGTACACTAACTACGAGACCCCTTAGGGGGTGCTTACATGATACTGGGGTGACTTGCATACCGGCACAGACTGCTTTATTCGTCTACATTATACCCCGGCTCGAGTTCACCCGGTTACTGTACCGGAGCTAGAATTTTACACCTCCGGTACGAAACCTCGCAGCAGTATCATTTAATAAGACAACTCGTTTCAGTGTGACAAAAACCTCGTGGGAGACTGGTAACGGATGTTGTATGCGTAGTCTTCACCAATTAATCTAAGATGGCGTTACGTAAGCCTCATTGGACATGTCAGTGAAGAAGCTTCTGGATATTTAGCCTCTACGTGTTGTGTTCTGAAGCAAAACATCTGATTCTCGCCGTACCTCTTTCATCCAGTTCAGAAACCAACGCTCTGTACGCGACGAGCTGCTACAGAGGCGCAAGGCATCGTTCAATCCCAGCATTTTCCTGACTAATCCGGGCGCAGGAAATAGTATCCGGAAAAAGTAACACTATAGTTTGAGTCAACTTCTGTAGTTTAATACTTTCCACTCACGAGGTTAGATCACAACTCTAAAAATAAATGTATGTATTAAGTTTAATTATAAAGGCTAGATACACTAAACAAATGTCCCTCACAAATCCGTTACTTGATTGAGAACTTTATTGACAACAACAGATCTTTCGTGTCAAGGCTTTTGCGGTAGCGCCCAGTTCAGGTCAAACTCATCATAACTAATCCCTACATAATGGAATTCCCTTGCAGCGCTCACAGAATTTGCTTACATATGGGAGGCTATCCGACAATAAAAAAAAAAATTTGGAGTAGAAAGGTCGAGAAGGGAAAAGAATAGGGAGCTTAAGCAAACCACGACGACAACGGCAACGAGAACGTCACCAAACAAAAGGTTTAATGAGCAAAACAATAGCTGTGCATGTGCGTTATAAATCTTTGCACATTTCTTTGCCGTCCTCTGCAAAATAACAACGTCAAATGACCAAATTCTGCGTCGTCTACTGAACGTGGACGACGACGGCTAATTTTTCGTATTTCCATTTGTTATTGAACGCTGTCATTGCATATTTAGCTTGAGCACATTTTTAGAGCCATTGGCGCACCAAACAGATCGAGACAATAGCGAATTTCGCTGGTAAAATATAAATTCATTTTTTACTAGGCGTTGTCCTCGGCGTCGACGTCGTCGTTACTTAAGCTCCCTAATGTCTTACACGGCGGTCAAGAAAAAACGTTGGTAAGGGAAAGGGACCTGGAGAGAGAAAGAAGGTTTACTCATTCAATGTAAAAGATAGATATAAAATGTAAATATAGGTGCAAATAAAGGGAATTCCACTGCAACGTTTTCGTGTGTGTTTACAGCTCATCCTTTGGCGTCTCCTCGCCATTTTTCTTTTTCTTCGTTTGCAAAACCTCGGCCAGTTTAGGAAGAACTTCGTTCCAAAATGCAATTTTTTCGGCTTGGTACCTGCTCTCCACTCTCGGTTTCACATCCAGGACGAGATATTCCTGCTCCTGTTCTGTAAACTTAGGCCACGTGACTGGCAAAGGACCAGATTCTGGTGGATTTGGTGACCTGAGAGAAGGAGTTAAGTAACATCACAAAGCTTTAAAGGTTATTAAACAACAACAGCAACAGGCCACCGCGCTTCCCACAAGAGAGATCTTAGGTCAAAGGAATATAATAATTACTCCATCTGGTCAGGTAAGCATCCATCCTGCCTCTGATAAGCGACTTCCCTCGAGCTACCAAAATTCAACACGCCGACCCATTGGCTAAAACTAGTGTTACTTTGATACAGAAAGGCGGCGAAAGAAGAGCACTTCACGAAGACAGTGAACATCCACGGATCGGTGGGTCTGGGGTCCGACGCCATATGCACCACCTCATAAATACTTCGAATTATAAATCAAACTCAAATTACGTTCTTACCCATATTTGGCAAAGTCCGTCCACAGTTTCATAATATAAAGGCTCAGCCCCTTTTCTATCTCCGAGTACTTCATCGCCATCATATTTACAAATGGGTCTTGTATGTTCTTGAAAGGTGCACCAAACACAAATCCAACGTCCATAGCATGCACCACGCCCGTCCAGTCAGGTATGCGTGAATAGACTGGTCTGTGATCGAACACATATACATAAGGTGGTCGTCCTCCCTGTTTAACATTGAAAGGAAAATAGACATCATGATTATCTCCTAGTATTTCCTGAGCGATATCTCTGCTAACTAAAGTGATTTTAGGCTGGGCCAAACAATGGATAACCCAATCGTTATAGCATTCAATCAATCAATCAATC